AAGTCAGAGTTGTTTTCTGTCTGAAGATAATTAACCCACTGGGTCTCAAGTTTCCTGGATGGAGGCCCTTTGACAGTTCCCCTCTAATGAGTGCTTATCAGGTACCATGCTTTGGGGTAAGCACTCTCGGTGAATCTGTATTGCTCATTTACTCCTCACACCAGCCCCTGGAAGCAGGGGGTGTTTTCCCACCCTCAGAGCAGCCAGAATTTTGAGTCTGCTATGTGATATATTTGCAAGTAAAAGTTTATTTCTGGTCCCCTTTAGATCATTACCATTAACCGCTTCCTTGGGTCGAAGGGTCATAGGCCATCATGTATAACATCAAATCAAACATTCTCCAGGGCAGACTGTACAGTCCAGAGGATGTAAGGAAACCCACAAAGACTTTGTGGAGAAGCAGAAGGGGTGCATCAGCGTTCTAGCACTTAGGGTTTAAGATGGGCCCTGGAGGCTGCGTTGTGCTGCTTTGGATAAGCCACTGCTTGAGGTGTGCGCATTCCATGTCGGGTGGCTGGTTTGAGTCCTGACTACTCCAAGCCTGGCAAGTGGCAGATGATGGCTGAAATACTTGAGTCCCTGCCACCCGCATGGGAGACCAAGATGGAGTTCCTGGCTCCTGGCTTTGGCCTAGATCAGCCCATTCTGGGAATGAATCAGAGAATGGACGATCTATCCTCTCTCTCTCTCTCTTTTTCTGTCTCTCCCTCTCTGTCACTCTGCCTTTCAAATAAAAAAATAAATCTTAAATAAAAAAAAAAAAATGGGCTCTGGAGTCAGGCTGCTCGAGTTGAAATTCTCATTGTCCAGAGAGGGGGAAAAAAAAAAACAAAAGATCCCAATGTTAATGATAATTGCCTTTGGTTAATGGGATTGGAGTTTATTTTTCCTCCATTTGTTTTTCTCTCCAAATTTTTAAATTTTTAAAAATTGATTCATTTATTTCAAAGGCAGAATTAGAGAGAGAGAGACCTCCATCTGCTGGTTCATTCCCCAAATGGCCACAATGGCTGGAGCTGGGCCAGTCTGAAGCCAGGAGCCAGGAGGTTCTTCTGGGTCTCCCATGTAGGTGCAGGGGTCCAAGTACTTGGACCATCTTCTGCTGCTTTCCTAGGCACATTAGCAGGGAGCTGGATCAGAAGTGGAGCAGCTAGGTCTTGAACTGGCGCCTATATGGGATGCCAGCACCACAGGTGGTGGTTTTACACACTACTCCACAGTGCCAGTCCCTTGTTTTTCAAGTCTTTTAAGAGTATGTGTGGGGCCAGCGCCGTGGCTCACTTGGTTAATCTTCCGCCTTTGGCACCAGTATCCCATGTGGGTGCTGGGTTCTAGTGCTGGTTGCTCCTCTTCCAGTCCAGCTCTCTGCAGTGGCCCGGGAAGGCAGTGGAGGATGGCCCAAATGCTTGGGCCCTGTACCCGCGTGGGAGACCGGGAGGAAGCACCTGGCTCCTGGCTTTGGATCTACATAGCTCCGGCCATAGCGGCCATTTGGGAGTGAACCAAAGGAAGAAAGACCTTTCTCTCTGTCTCTCTCTCTCACTGTCTAACTCTACCTGTCAAAAAAAATAAGAAAGGATATTGTGTAATTAAAAAGAAAAAGAAAAACATCTTGGAACAAACCAAATGTCCATGAAAGGGGAATGGATGAATAGATTGTAATATATTCCTACAAGGAAATACTACTACATAATAATAAAACAAAAAACTACTGATTTACATAACAAGATAGATAATTTTTTTCTTTGTGAAATAAGGCTTTATCCGTCAGAACGGAAGGAACAGATAGAGAGTGTCCAGTCACTCAGACTTGGGGGAGAGCGAGGTTACATGGTTGAATGGGCAGGCCAGGTGGGCAACTCAGCAAAGAGCAGAGAGCTGAGCGCTGACAGATGCTGTGGCACAGTGAGTTAAGCCTCTGCTTGCAACTCTGGCATCCAATATCAGAGTGTTGTTTTGAGTCCCGGCTGCTCTGCTTCCAATCGAGCTCCTGTCTTTTTATTTATTTTTTTTTTTAGATTTGTTTATTTATTAGAAAGTCAGAGTTACATAGAGAGAGGAAAGGCAGAGAGAGAGAGAGAGATCTTCTATCCGAAAGTTCACTCCCCAAATGGCCACATCAGCTGGAACTGTGCCAATCCAAAGCCAGGAGCTTCTTCCAGGTCTCCCATGTGGGTGCAAGGGCCCAAGCACTTGGGCCATCTTCTACTGCTTTCCCAGGCCATAGCAGAGAGCTGGACAGGAAGTGTAGCAGCCGGGTCTTGAACCTGCGTCCATATGGGATGCCGGCGCTTCAGGCCAGGGCGTTAACCCACTGTGCCGCAGCACCGGCCCCACCAATCGAGCTCCCTTCTAACATGCCTGGGAAAGCAGCCTAAGGTGACCCAAATACTTGGGCCACTGCCACTAATGTGGGAGACCTGGATGGAGTTACTGGCTCTTGGCTTAAGTCTGGTCCAGACTCAGCCATTGTGGCCTGTGAACCAGTGAATAAAGGATCTCTTTCGCTCTCTGTCACTGTGCCTTTTAAATAAATAAAATAAACCTTCAAATAAAATAAAAACAAAACATTCTAAATGAAAGAATGCAAATGCAAAAAATGATGTTGTAGAACAGACACAGTTAGTCTATGGTGAATAAAATCAGATCTGTGTTTGCCGGTGGGGAGGGTTGGCAAGTATTGATGGCAAATGGACACAGTGAACTTTTGGTGAAAATGGAAATTTTTATCTTGATTGTGGTGGTAGGTTCTCAGAGGTATGTATTTGTCCAAATGTATCAAGCAGGGACTGGAGTGTGGCACATCAGTTCAGTTAGTGTAGTTAAGATGCCGCATGAGACTCTCGCTTATTGGAGTGGCTGGTCCATGTCCCACCTGCTACACCTCTGATCCTGCTTCCTGCCAGTGCACACCCTGGGAGGCAGCAGATTGTTAGACCCTCTGAGTGAGGATGCTAACACGTCGAGAGGCACACCCCAAAGACTCAGAGTCCAGACCAGCTGATGCAAAAAGCAAGAGGATTTATTCGGCGTCTGTGCAGACGGGCCTCCTGAACTCGGGAGTCCAGAGAGCGCCCCCAGCACAAAGCCACACGGTTTATATACCCGCAGCGACCAATCGAAAGCACTATAGTGTCCATGCACACAGCATTCCAATCCGTGAGCTGATCATGTGAAAGGCATGCGTCTTCTATCCAATCAGCTACGGGATCACATGGGAGGCATGCACCTCGTCGCCATTTTGTTGTTTACTTCTTTAGCAGTTCCTTTCCCTGTCAGGGTCATCTTGTTCACCCTGAGGGGGACGCGTCTCGCTCCCTTCGTTCCCCTGGAGGGAGAGCAGCGTCCCGCTTCCCACACCGTTATTTGAGTATTAGGAGGCATACAAACTGGGTTAGGTCTTAGCACAGCCAGGCACAAGTGTTGCAGCTAGCTAAGCATAGGGTCCCTTATTTTTATAGCTGCACCTAATTTTAGCTCTGGGGAAAAAGTTTAGGGCTATAATTTTTAAACTTTAATTTTATTTGGGGCAAAGGTGACTTCCTGTTTTTAATAGTGTTAGCTTTAGTCACTCCATCTTGGTTTGATTTTTAAGGTTCTTCAAGATGATGGCTCAAATACTTGGATTTTTGCCCTCCATGTGGGAGATACGAACTGAATTTTGGGCTTCTGGCATTGGCCTGACCCAGCCCTGGCCATTGCTGGCATCCAAGGAGTGAACCAGCAGATGGAAGATCTGTCTCTGTTTATCTTTGTCTCTCTGCCTTTCAAACAAAATGAAATAAATAGCTAAAATTTTAAAACAAAAAGCTCATCAAGTTGTACATTTAAATGAGTATGTTTTAATTATATATGTAAATATATATCAATAAAATTAAAATAAAGAAAATGTTATTTTTCTGGTTATAATAGCATTATATGCTTATTCTTAGAAATTCTAATATTTTAGAAGATCTTAATATTTATGAAAAAATTACTTTCTCCATTTTAAAGAATTATAAAGTCACTGCAATTCTAAACACAGGAGTGGTTGCCCAACAAATATTAGTACATTAAAAAACAAAGTTCAGGGTTGGTGTTATGGAGTAGTGGGTAAAGTCACTGCCTGTAATGCCTGCATACAATATGGGCGTTGGGTTTGAGTCCCAGTTGCTCCACTTCTGATCATGCTAATGTGCCTGGGAAAGCAGAGGAAGATGGCCTGAGTCTTGGCCCCTGTACCCACGTGGGAGACCCTGAAGAAGCTCCTGGCTCTGTTGTAGCCATTTGGGGAGTGAAACAGCAGATGGAAGATCTCTCTCTCTCTCTCTCTCTCTCTCTCTCTGTCTCTCTCACTGTGTATGTGTGTCCCTCTCTCTGTAGCTCTGCCTTTTAAATAAATAAAATAATATGTTCTTTAAAAATACAAGAGAGAAGTGACCCCCTTTGGAAGCAGAGAAGAGTAAACAGAGTGGAGTACCTGGCAGAGCCGGGAGAGCCTGCTAGAGGGAGAAGCTGTTATGGCAGGGTGGGTGTGTGGCTTCTGAGAAACTCCTACAGGTGACAAAGAGTTGAGATTGGCATTCAGGTAGTTTTGCTGCTGAGGAATTGTGTTTGAGTGATTTTTTCTGCTTGTCTTGGATTCTCTCCTCTTATTTCTTTGGGGAGAACACTGAAAATATGACAACAACAAAAATCATAATGGCAAGGAAAACTGGGCAATGACCAAGCCAACAAGAAAACTAATTCTCAACATTGTTGTCTTTTCTGTGTGGCTAAGATCTTGTTGACTGATCCCACCTGTTTGTCCTTAATGACTAGAATGATAGCAGCTGGTAATTATCAACCAAGAACCTAAAGAAAAGCCCATATTGGTATTATTTGTAGATGCAAAAACAATTGAAGACTTGGGTCCCATCTCCCAGTAATAGTGGGGAAAAGAGAGCCAGTAATAACTCCATAGCAGCCCTGTGTGCACAATGCTCTGCAGCTCACCAAGTGCTCTTCATTCATCATTCCAGGGCATTCTCTCACCATCAGGGCTGGGAGCCCAGAGGAATAGCCATCTGGCAAAGGGCCAAGAGGCAGACCCAGCAAGGCTGAGGCCAACTCCACCTCCTGTAAGTAAGACCTCAAGAGGTCTCTTCTCTTGTGGCCATTGTGAAGATCAAGGGAAAATGCGGGGCTAGCATTGTGTTGTGGTGGGTTAAGCCACCACTTGTGAAATGCCAGTGACCCATATGGGCACTGGTTCGAGTCCTGGCTGCTCCACTTCTGATCCAGCTCTCTGTTAATGTGCCTGGGAAACCAGCGGAGGATGGCCCAAATGTTTGAAAGACCTGGATGAAACTCCTGCTTCAGCCTGGCCCATCCTGGCCACTTTGGTCGTCTGGGGCATGAACCAGCAGATGGAAGATCTCTCTCTAACTCTGCCTTTTTCAAATAAATAAATAAAGCTTAAAAAAAAAAAAAAAAAAAGAACATGTAGGGACTGGCATTGTGGCGCAGTTGGTTAAGCCACTACCTGGAATGCCAGCATTCTGTATGAGCCCTGGTCTGAATATTGGCTGCTCTACTCCCAGTCTGGCTTCCTGTTAATGCACCTGGGAAAGCAGCAAAAGATGTGTCCTTGCCACCCATGTGGGAGACCCAGAAGAAACTCCTTGCTCCTGGCTTTCTCCTGGCCCAGCCTTTTGGGGGAGTAAACCAGCAGATGGAAGATCTCTCTCTCTCTCTGTCATTCCCTCTCTGTAACTCTGCCTTTCAAGTAAGAAAATAAATAAATAAACCCTTTTAAAAACATTTTTTTAATTTTTTGACAGAGTGGACAGTGAGAGAGAGAGAGAGAAAGGTCTTTCTTTTGCCGTTGGTTCACCCTCTAATGGCCGCCGCGGCTGGCGCTCTGCGGCCGGCGCACCGCGCTGATCCGGTGGCAGGAGCCAGGTGCTTATCCTGGTCTCCCATGGGGTGCGGGGCCCAAGCACTTGGGCCATCTTCCACTGCACTCCTGGGCCACAGCAGAGAGCTGGCCTGGAAGAGGGGCAACCGGGACAGAATCCGGCGCCCCAACCGGGACTAGAACCCAGTGTGCCGGCGCTGCAGGCGGAGGATTAGCCTAATGAGCTGCGGCGCCGGCTTATTTTACTTATTTGAAAGGTAGAGATTCCGTCTGCTAGTTCACTCCTAACAGTGGTTGGGGCTGGGCCAGATTGAAGCCAGGAGCCAGGAGCCTCCTCCTGGTCTCCTACGTGGGTGCAGGGGCCTAAACACTTGGGCCATCTTCCACCACTTTCCCAGGAGCATTAACAGGGAGCTGGATCAGAAGTGGGGCAGCCGGGACTTGAATCATTGCCAGTATGTGATGCCAGAGCTGTAGATGGCTACCTAACCGTCTTTACCACAAGCTGGTCCCAATAAATCTTTTTTTCTTTTGAAGGAAAATGTAGATGATGCTCCTGGCACAGTGGTGTGTTCAGTGACTGAGCTGCTGTTGGTCCTCGCAGGTTTATGAATGTGGATATGGCTCAATGGAAATTATGGAAAAGTTGCAAGCAAGAGCTACAACTTGCTGGTAAATCTCCAAGGTGGAGCCGGCGCCGCGGCTCAATAGGCTAATCCTCTGCCTAGCAGCGCCGGCACACTGGGTTCTAGTCCCGGTCGGGCGCCGGATTCTGTCCCGGTTGCCCCTCTTCCAGGCCAGCTCTCTGCTGTGACCAGGGAGTGCAGTGGAAGATGGCCCAAGTGCTTGGGCCCTGCACCCCATGGGAGACCAGGATAAGTACCTGGCTCCTGCCATCGGATCAGCGCGGTGCGCCGGCTGCAGCGCGCCGGCTGTGGCGGCCATTGGAGGGTGAACCAACGGCAAAAGGAAGACCTTTCTCTCTGTCTCTCTCTCTCTCTCTCTCACTGTCCACTCTGCCTGTAAAATAAAATAAAATAAAATATCTCCAACGTGGAAGAAGGATTAATCTGCTCTTCCCCCAAAGGAAGCTCAGGAAGAGCCTAGGCCAGGAACGGAGACCATGCCCAAGTGTGACTCAGGAAGAGACTTTCTGACCTTAAATTGTAAGACTACAGACAGAAAAAGTGAAAGAGCGGGGCTGATGTTGTGGCATAGCAGGTAAATCTGCAGCCCATGACATCACCGGTTTGAGACCCAGCTGCTCCACTTCCTACTGAGCTCCCTGCTAATGAGCGTGGGAAAGCAACAGAAAATGGCCCAAGTGCTTGGACCCCTGCATCCATGTGGGAGACCCAGAGGAGGCTCCTAGCTCCTGGGTTCAGCCTGGCCCAGCCGCAGCTGTTGTGGCCATTTGGGGAGTAAACCAATGGATGGAAGATCTCTCTGTCTCTCTCTGTGCCTCTCCCTCTTACTGTAACTCTGCCTTTCAAATAAATAAATCTTTTTTTTTAAGTGACAAACCCCTTCAGGTGCATGTATCTACCTTCCTATCCCCCATCCCACAGAGCAGATAGGGAAGCACATGGAGGGGAAGGGACTGGCCTGATGACTCAGCGTGGACTGGCAAGCAGTGCCTAGAGGTCAGCCTGTTTGTTCCCTTGCTGTTGCCTCACGAACCCAAGCTCTTTAATGATACGCACCAGGGGTTCATTCCTGACCTTGCACTAGCCAACTGTGTGCCTTTGGTCAGTGGCATAACATCTCTGACCCTCAGTATCTTCATTCGTAAAATGGAGTAACAGCATCAACTACATCAGCTTGTTGTGTAGATCAGTGGTGCTGTGCACATAGACTGCATGATCATTGGATAAGTGTATGAGGGTGCTTCAAAAAATTTGTGGAAAATGGAATTAACAGAGGTTTATTTGGCTACAAAAATATATTAAAATATGTGCATAGTTTTTTTCATAATATTAATTTTCCATGAAATTTTTGTTTTATTTGAGAGGTAGAGACAGAGAGACACAGAGATCTCCCATCTGGTAGATTACTTCCCAATTGCCCACAACAGGTGGGAGCAGGCTAGGCCAAAGCTAGGAACTATTAACTCAATCCAGGTTTCCCATATGGGTGGCAGGAACCCAGTTACTTGGGCCATCACCTGCTGCCTCCTAGGATCTGCATAAGCAGGAAGCTGGACTCTGGAGCTGAGCTCAGTATTGAATCAGGTATTTCTGATATGAGATGTGGGTGTTTTAACTGCTAGGCTAAACAGCTGCCCTTCCATGAATTTTTTTTTCTAAGGTTTATTCACTGGGGTCGACACTGTGGTGTACCTGGTTAAGCTGCTGCCTGCAGTGCTGGCATCCCATATGGGCACCGCTTTGAGTCCCGGCTGCTCCACTTCAGATCCAGCTCCTTGCTAATGCTCCTGGGAAACCAGTGGAAGATGGCCCATGTGCTTGGGCCCCTGCACCCATGTAGGAGAGCAGAAAGAAGCTCCTGGCTCCTGGCTTCGGTCCGGCCTAATTCCAGCCGTTGTGGCCATTTGGGGAGTGAACAAGCAGATGGAAGATCTCTCTCTCCCTCTGTCTCTCCCTGTCACTCTGCCTTACAAATAAAATAAATAAATCCTTGAAAAAAAAAAAGATTTGTTTATTTACTTATTTGAAAGGCAGAGTAACAGAGAGAAAGTGAGAGATCTTCCATCTGCTGGTTCACTCCTCAAATACCTGTAACAGCTGGGGCTAAATCAAGCTGATGTCATTCAGGTCTCCCATGTGGGTGGCAGGGGCCCAAGAACTTGGGTCATTTGCTGTCTCGAAGGTGCATTGGCAGGAAGATGGACCGGATGCACAGAGTAGCCAGGGCACTCTGATATGGGATGCAGACTTCCCAAGTGGCAGCCAGGCCTGCAGCACCACAATGCCTGCCCCACTCTAAGAATATTTTTAACACCCTTGCATAATTCCCATTTTATAGATGAGGAACTGAGGTTTGTTGAGACTTCCCTCGGTTCAGGATGTTACCCCAGGTCAAAGAGAGAGCCTAGAAGAAGTTGAAGAAACCTCTGGGTGAAAATCGCAGTGGGCGCAGGTGAGTCAGCTCTCCTTGCACCTGTCACTAGGAGCCCCACCTTTCCATCCAGGAGCTCAGCAAGACAGTCAGTGACCTTCCATGTCTGCTGCCTGACACACAAACAGGTTGTGAAACAGCCTGGCAGTGACTCAGCCTGAGGACGGCTCCACTGGCTAGCTCTGCGGGCGGGGCTGTGTGACACCTGAAAGGACATCGTGTCTAACAAACATGTTGCTTGTCCCAGCACTGATGGAGGGTGCCAAGCTCAGTCGGTGAACTCTGGTCCTTGAGGCATCACAGATGACGGAACTGGGGTGCCTAAGTTGCATGGATCTCGGGTTGTAATTCTGGTCTAACAACCACCCAGGGCCAATGTCAAGAAGAGAGGAATGTGTTAGAGGCTGGGGAGCTCCTTTTTATCAAGAGGTGGCCTGGGCTGTGGCTCTTGGTGTCCAGATTGTGTGATCTGAGTTCAAAGCCCTGAGCTCTACTGCTTACTGCCTATGTAACTTTAGGCAAGTGGCTTATGCCTCTAAGTTAAAACTGCCTTACTCTGTAAAAACCTCAGCCTGGAAAAATGATGTTTTAGAGATAAAAGATGTAAATTTCCTGAACCAGGGCCAGGTATTTGTTCAAGTGTTTGGGATACTGCTTGGGAGGCTCTTGCTTTATATCAGTGCTTGTTTTTGTTTTTGTTTTTTAAGATTTATTTTACTTATATGAAAAGCAGAGTTACAGGCAGAGGCAGAGAGAGAGAGAGAGAGAGAAAGTCTTTCATCTGCTGGTTCACTCCCCAAATGGCCACACTGGCTGGAGCTGATCTGATCTGAAGGCACATGGGTGCAGGGGCCCAAGGACTTGGGCCATCTTTCGCTGCTTTCCCAGGCACATAAGCAAGGAGCTGGATCTGAGGTGGAGCAGCCAGGACACGGGATGCCAGCACTGGGGGCAGTGGCTTTACCTGCTACACCTCAGCAGCGGCCCCAGTGCTTGGGTTTTATATAGGCTCCACACCTGACTCCAGCTTCCTGTTAGTGCAAACCCTGGGAGGCAGTGATGATGACACAGGTGTCTGAGTTCCTACTGCTCACGTGGAAAATATGGAGGGAGTTCCTGGCTCCTGGCTTTGACCTGGCTTAGTCTTGGCTGTTGTAGGCATTTGAGGAAAGGACTAGAGATAAGAGAGTTTTCTCTCTCTCTCTCTCTGCCTCCCAAATTTTAAAAAAATTTTTTTAAACTGAACTAATTATTCCTAAAAACAAACCAAAGAATTTCCTAATAGAAAGCTTTCCAGAAATTACTATTGGAAACTTGTGCTGGGGCTGGTACTGCAGCATAGTGGGTAAAGAACCGGCATCCTATATGGCTACTGGTTTGAGTCCCGGCTGCTCTACTTCTGATCCAGGTCCCTGCTAATGCATGGGAAAGCAGTGGAAAATGGCCTAAGTGCTTGGGCCCCTGCATCCACTTGGGAGATCCAGAAGGAGCTCCTGGTTCCAGGATTTGGATCGATCAGCCCAGCTCCAGCCGTTGCAGCCATTTGGGGAGTGAACCAGTGGATGGAAGTTCTCTCTGTGTCTCTGTCTCTGTAACTCTACCTTTCAAATAAATAAAAAAAAAAGTTAAAAAAAATAAGAAAGAAACCTGTGCCACTGTTTGCCCTCCCCCACTCCTGATGGAACTTGCCCCTCCTGCTAGCAAAGGGTGATGGAACTTTCCCACTCGTCAGGAAGTGAAAAAGCAGTCAGCCCAGCTGTCACAGACACAAGCCCCAGGCCAGTCGTGTCCTTGTTTTTCAACTGATCACTGGATGCATTTCCTAATAGGAAAAAAGAAAGGGACATTTTGATCAAGCGGTGTGGGAGGCTGAATGACAGCCCCCCAGCCACACCCACGTCCTAATGTCTGGAGTCTGTCAGTTTGCCTTCTGTGTAACTTACCCGCTTTGAAGCTGTGATTAATGTGAAGATATTGAGAGGGAGAATTATCCTGGATTATCTGGTGGGTCCCTGACGTAATCACAGGTCTCACTGGAAGAGGGAGGTGAAGGATTTGATGACAGACAAGAGAAGGACGTGTGCTACAGTTAAATGTGTCCCCTGACGTGTGTGTGTCAGAGACTTGATCTCCAATGATACAGCCTTGAGAGGCGGGACCTTCAGTTATGGGGGCTGTGGCCTCCTGCGTGGACGTGTGAGCTCCTTAGCGTGCCAGCGTGTGCTTACAGAGGACGAGTGCCTGACGGGAGCCCTGGAAGATGCATCTCTGATCTGTGGCTTCAATCAGAGAATGCCTTCTGCTGGTAAGCAACTAAATTTGTGGTAATTTGTTTTTGTTATTTTTTAAAGATTTTTATTTATTTATTTGAAAAAGTAGAGTTATAGACTGTGAGAGGGAGAGACACAGAGGTCCGTCTCTGATTCCATCCACTGATTCACTCCCCAAATGGCTGCAACAGCAGGAGCTGAGCCAATCTGGAGCCAGGAGCTTCTTCCGGGTCTCCCACGTGGGTGCAGGGGCCCAAGTGCTTGGGCCATTCTCTTTTGCTTTCCCAGGCACGTTAGCAAGGACCTGGATCAGAAGTGAAGCAGCCGGGACTCCAACCAGCGCCTATATGGGATGCTGATGCTGCAGGCTGGGGCTTTTAACCCACAAGCCAGAGCGCTGGCCCTGCTAACACCAAATCTTGAAATGTGATGGTAAGTGTAACAAGCCAGTCATAAAAGATCACATTTTGTGTGATTCTTTTTATTTGACATGTCCAGAAGAGGCAAATCCACTGACAGAAATCCTATCAGTGGTTGCCCAGGGCTGAAGGCATGGAAGGTTTGGGATGATGACTGAGAGGGATGGGGTTTCCTTTTGGGGTAATGACGAGGTTTTAAGGTTCTGTGTGGTGATGGTTGTTCTAATGAGATGTGCACTTATAGGGTGAGTGAATTATATATCAATAAATCTGTTTAAAATATAATGCTGAGGGGTGGGCATGTGGGGTCATGAGTAGTGGAGTTGCCACTTGGGTGCCAGCGTCCCATGTCAGAGTGCCTGGTTTGAGTCCTGGCTACTCTGTTGCTGATTCAGCTTCCTGCTAATACACACCCTGGAAGGCAGCAGATGACAGCTCCAGCACATAGGTCCCTGTCACTTACATGGGTAGGAGTTCTAGGCTTCTGATTTTAGCCTGGCCCAGTCCTGCCTATTTTGAGCATTTGGGAGTGAACCAGCAGACAGAAGATCTCTCTCTATGTCTCTCTCTCTCTGCCTTTCAAATAAAAAACAAAAATTAACAAGAGCAAACAAATGGGCAATTGTGCTGAGAGCTGACACCTAGCAGAAGTATACTGAATATTTGCCACTACTGTGCTACAATTTTCTCACCTCCTCATCTAATTCTGAAATAATGGTGTAACTAACATCAGCACTCACTACCTGCCAGACACTGTGGTAAAGCATTTTACATATATTATCTCTCTTAATCACCAAATGCACCTAATACTGTGGTTATGGTTATTATCCCATTTTAAGATAAGGAAGCTGGAATACTGATAGGTTAAGTAACTTGCCCAGGGTCACACAGCTTACAAGTAGTAGAACCAGGATTTCAACTCGAGTCACTGGACTTCTGAGCCCAAGAACTCAACTTGTTTCTCTGCACTGTGTCATTAGCCCCCTGGACCGGCTGGTAGGATCTGCAGAATTTTCAATTTCATATCTTCAGTCCTATGCGAGGCTCAGCTACACTTCCTGAATATTTGTAAAGTGAGTCGCTTCTTTTGCTTAAAGCCGAATGGCTTTCTGTTCCATCCAACAGGTCCCTGGTTCAGAAGTGGGGAAATTCCAACTCTCCTAGGGCAGAGCAGGGGCTTCCTGAGGGCTCAGCAACCACAGAGGGCATCCACACTGACCCCTGCCCTGGGGAGCCGTAGAGAGCACACGTCAGAGCGAAGACTAAGGTGTTGCAGCGGAGCTTGGCAGCTCTTTGCTCTACGTCTTCCAACTTCTGATATGGATTTTCTTTAAATGCAGCATTGCTAAATTTTATGTAAAGACAATAGAATATTGTAATGAAAATCCTGGGCCCTGTACTCTGGAAGATAGTTATTCAGTTCCTTAAGAAGCTAAAACTACCATAAAACGCAGCTATTGTAATCCTGAGCATCTGTCCCAGAGAAATGAAGATTTATCTTGTTAAAAAATCCTTGAGGGACCAGCGCTGTGCCGTACTGGATAAGGCCACTGCCTACAGTACCAGCACCCCATATGGGTGCTGATTTGAGTCTCAGCAGATGGAAGACCTCTCTCTCTCTCTCTGCCTCTGCCTCTCTGTAACTCTGCCTTTCAAATAAATAAATAAATCTCTCTAAAAAAAAAAAAAAGCCTTGAATGGGGCCAGCATTGTGGCGTAGTGGGTAAAGCCACCACCCAAAACGCTGGCGTCCCATACAGACGCCAGTTCAAGTCCTGGCTACTCCTCTTCCAATCCAGCTCCCTACTAATGTGCCTTGGAAAGCAATGGAAGATGGCTCAAATCCTTGCAGCCCTGCACCATGTGGGAGACCCAAATGAAGCTCCTGGCTTGTAGCTTCCGGCTTTAGCCTGGCCCAGCCCCAGCCATTGTGGCCATTTGGGGAATGAACCAACAAATGGAATCTCTTTCTCTGTGTCTCCCCTCTCTCTTTCTGTAACTTTGTCCTTCATATAAATGAAATAAATTAAAAAAAAAAAGACCCCTTGAATGTTTAGAGTAGCTTTATTGGGTGTAGTAAAAAACTCAAACATCCTTCAGTGAGTGAGTGGTTAAGCCATGGCACAACTGAGGAACCCCACTCAGCGTGGACAAAGACTCAGCAATGAAAACGGAGGAAATGTTAATACTTAGACTTGCAGCAGTCTGGATGAATTTCCAGAAAACTATGCTGAGTGAAAAAAAAAATCTCAGAAGGTTACATACTGTATGACTCACTTATATAAAATTCTTAAAATGTCCTCGAAATGGAGGACATGCTACTGACTGTTAGAGTTCAGGCGGCAAGAAGAGAGTGGGGATGTCTCTTAAAAGGACAACGTGAGGAATCCTTGTGGTGAGGACAGCACTCTGTGTCTCGGCTGAATCCACATATTTGGGCTGTGATCCGGCACCATCCTTTCCCATGATGCCATGCTGGGAAAAACTCGGTGAGGGTACACAGCACCTCTTTGTCTCATTGTGTTATTTCTTACGGCATGTGAATGTAAAATTATCTCGCCGGTGCCGTGGCTCAATAGGCTATTCCTCCACCTAGCGGCGCCGGCACACCGGGTTCTAGTCCCAGTCGGGGCGCCGGATTCTGTCCCGGTTGCCCCTCTTCCAGGCCAGCTCTCTGCTGTGGCCAGGGAGTGCAGTGGAGGATGGCCCAAGTGCTTGGGTCCTGCACCCCATGGGAGACCAGGATAAGTACCTGGCTCCTGCCTTGGGATCAGCGCGGTGCGCAGGCCACAGCACGCCAGCCATGGCGGCCGTTGGAGGGTGAACCAACGGCAAAGGAAGACCTTTCTCTCTGTCTCCCTCCCTCACTATCCACTCTGCCTGTCAAAAAAAAAAAAAAAAAAAAAGACTTACAACTATCTCAAAGCCCCAGGTTGTTTTCACCTGTGCTTTAAGACCAATCAATTGGGGCCGGCTCTGTGGCATAGCAGTTAAAGCCGCTGCCTGCAGTGGCGGCATCCCATGTGGGCATCGGTTCGAGTCCCAGCTGCTCTACTTCCAATCGGGCTCTCTGCTATGGCCTGGGAAAGCAGTAGAAGATGGCCCAAGTCCTTGGGCCCCTGCACCCGCGTGGGAGACCTGGAAGAAGCTCCTGACTCCTGGCTTCAGATCAGTGCAGCTCCAGCCGTTGTGGCCATTTGGGGAGTAAACCATCGGATGGAAGACCTCTCTCTCTCTCTCTCTCTCTCTCTCTCTCTCTCTGCCTCTCCTCTCTCTGTGTAACTCTGACTTTTAAGTAAATAAAAATAATTTTTTTTTAAATGGTTAAGAGGTCGACATTTGGGAGTGATGGAAATGTTTTGCCCTGGATGGAGGAGGTGCTTGCACAAGCCTGGCAGCATACTAAAGGCCGGGGAATTGTTCACTTCAAACTGGTCAATTTATGTTCAATTTATCTCAATAAACTGATAAAAACAAAAAGCCCCTCATAATTGTGTAAGAAAAATGTATTCTCTTTCATATGAAGAAGACCTGGAGCAGATAAACTTCAGAACTGGTTGTTTCAGTAGCTCCAAGATTCTATCAAGGACCCAAATTCTTTCTATCGCTCTGTTTTTTCATTCTTATCATGTTGCGTTTCCCTCTCTTTCATGGTTGAGAGATGGTTGTCATAGTTCCGAGCACTGCCTGTGGACATAACAACATGTAGCTCCACTAAACTGTAGTGAAACAAAGAGGGACTTCTGTTTCCACAAGTACTCTTTCTCTCATTCACTTTTATTTAATTTAAGCCTTTTTAAAAAGATTTATTTATTATTTGAAAGACAGAGCTACAGAGAGGCAGAGGCAGAGAGAGAGAAAGGAGAGAGGTCTTCCATTTGCTGGTTCACTCCCCAGATGGTTGCAACGGCTGGAGCTACGCCAACCTGAAGCCAGGAGTCAGGAGCTTCTTCCGAGTGTCCCTCGTGGGTGCAGGGGCCCAAGGACTTGTGCCATTTTCTACTATTTTTCCAGGCCATAGCAGAGAGCTGAATCAGAAGTGGAGCAGCCAGGAATTGAACCAGTGCCCGTGTGGGATGCCAGCACTGCAGGCAGCAGCTTTACCCACTACGCCACAGCTCCCGCACCTCTCATTCACTTTTAAATAATAGCTTTATTGAGATATAATTTACTTACCACACAACTCACCCTTTAAAAACATGCAAGAAACTTTATCACAATGAGTTTACCACCAAAACACAGATGTTGTGAAAATCACCACCAAATCCAAACCAAAATGGCGAATAAAAGACTCATTAACATTGTAATCCTTGGGCGCTTAGATTCAGGCAAGTCCATAGCTCCTGCCTATGTCATCTACACGTGTGGTAAGAGTGACCCAAAAAAAAGAAATCAGGAAATTTTGAGGAGAGGCTGCTGAGAGGGGAAGGGCTCCTTCAGCACACCCGGTCTTAGATAATCTGAAGGCTGAGCATAAGCACGATGTCTCCACTGACATCTCCCTGTGGAAATTTGAGACCAGCAAGTATTACGTGACAATCAATGATGCCCCCAGGATGCAGAAACTCATCAAGGACACGACTCCAGGCACTTATCGGGCTGACTGCTGCTCTGATTGTTGCTGTTGGGGTCGGTCAAGGTGAAGCTGGTGTCTCCAAGAATGGGCAGGCCCATGAGCACACCGGGTGTGAAACAACTCATTGTTTGTTAACAAAATGAATTCCATTGAGCCACCCTTTAACCAGAAAGGATACAAGGAAATGGTTAAGGAAGTCAGCACCCAAATGAAGAAACTTGGCTACAATTCCGGCATAGTAGCATTTGTGCCAATATTCTTTTGTAATGGTGACAACCTGCTGAAACTAAGTATTAATATGCCCTGGTTCAAGGACTGGAAATTCACCCATAAAGATGGCAATGGGGGGCGGCGCTGTGGTGTAGTGGGTAAAACTGCTGCCTGCAGTGCCGGCATCCCATATGGGCGCCGGTTCGAGTCCTGGCTGCTCCACTTCTGATCCAGCTCCCTGCTTATGGCCTGGGAAAGCCATGGAAGATGGCCCAAGTGTGTGGGCCCCTGCACACGCGTGGGAGAGCTAGAAGAACATTTTGGCTCCTGGCTTCAGATTGGCCCAGCTCCGGCTGTTGCAGCCATTTGGGGAGTGAACCAGCAGATGGAAGACTTCGCTCTGTCTCTCCCTGCCTCTGCCTCTCTGTAACGCTGCCTTTCAAATAAATATATAAATCTTAAAAATAAATGGCAATGGGTGCAGGCATTTGGTATGGCAGTAGAGATGCTGCTTGTGATGGTAGCATTCCATTTTGAAATGCCTAGGCTCAGGTCCCGGCTCTGTTCCCAGCTCCAGCTTCCTGCTGGTGCACACCCCGGGAGACAGTAGATGATGGCCCAAGTACTTGGGTTCCTAACACCACACTGAGTTACAGGCTCCTTGCCTAACCCTGGCTGTTGTTGGCATTTGGAGCATGAACCAGCAGCTAGAATCTCTCTCTCTCTCTCTCTGCCTGTCTCTTTGCCTTTCAGATAATACATAAAAATAAAGTAAAAATAAAGATGGTAAGGGCCAGCATTGTGGCACAGTGAGTTAAGCTGCTGTTTGGCACACCAGCATCCCATATCATAGTGCCAGATCGAGTTCTCTCTGCTCCACTTCTGATCCAACTTCCTGTGAATGCACCTGGGAGATAGCAGATGGTGGCCCAAGTAATTGGATTCCTGCCAGCCACATGGGAGACCTGAATGGAGTTCCTCATTTTTGGCTTCAGCCTGGCCCAGACCTAGCTATTGCAGACATGCAGGGAGTGAACTAGCAGATAGAAGACCTCTCCGTGTCTCTCCTCCTCTTTGTCTGTAACTTTACCTCTCAAGTAAATAAATAAATAAAATCCTTAAGAAAATCATTCATCATTATCAGTTTTCAAAGAAATAAGTCCGTCTGCCTCAACAAATTGCAATCATGCTAATGAAATTTGACTCTTCTAAAAAAAAAAAGATTTATTTGGGACCAGTGCTATGGTATATATACGGTATATGGTATATATATGGTATATATATATGGTAAAGCTTTTGCCTGTAGTGCCGGCATCCCATATGAGCAAGAGTTTGTGTCCCTGCCGCTCCATTTCTGATCCAGCTCCCTGCTGATGTGCTTGGGAAAGCAGCAGAGATGGCCCAAATACTTGAGTCCTTGCACCCATGTGGGAGTCCCAGAAGAAGCTCCTGGATCCTGGTTTTGGATTGGCTCACCTCTGGCCCTTGTGGCCATTTAATGAGTGAACCAGTGGATGGAAGATCTGTCTCTATCTGGCCCCAACATGTTTTCTAATTTTTTAAAAAAGATGTATTGATTGATTTGAAAGAGCTGCAGAGAGAGAGGAAGAAACACAAACACACACACACACACGCACTCACTCACACACAGATCTTCCATTCACTGGTTCACTCTCCAAAGGGCGACAATGTCCAGGGCTGGGGCATACTGAAACAGGACCCAGGAGCTTCCTCCAGGTCTCCCACATGGGTTAAGGGGCCCCAACACTTGGGCCATCTTCTGTTGCTTTTCTTGGGCCACAGCAGGGAACTTGAACCAGCATCCATGTGAGATGTCATTGTTGCAGGGGGCGGATTAACCCACTATGCCACAACGTTGGCCCTATGATGTTTTCTTAAGTCCAGTGTGGTGGTCACCTTTGCTCTAGTCACTGCCACAACTGAGCTAAAGTCTGTTGGAAAAGAAGAGATTAAAAAATGTATCATGACCTTTTGAGTGAATCTTCCTGGGGACAATGTGAGCTTCAGTGTCAGGAATGTGTATGTTCAGAGCAAGTGTTTGGCCCAGCAGCTAAGAAACCCACATCCCACATCAGAGTACCTAGGTTTGAATCCCGTTCTAGCTCCTGACCCCAGCCTCTTGCAACTATAGACCCTGGGAGGCCGGGGTGATGGCTCAAGTAACAGAGTTCCTGACAGCTACATGGGAGATCTAGGTTGAGTTCCTGGCTCCTGGTTTTATCTTCGTCGTTGTGGGCATTTGGGGAGTAAACTAGTGAATGGGAACTCTGTCTCTCTCACTCTCTGCCTCTCAAATGAACATGAAAGCGGGGAGGGGAGTGTCTGTGAAATATGTTCACCATGGCAATGTTGCTGGTGACAACAAAAACAACTCACCAATGGAAGCAGCTGGCTTCACTGGGTGATTATCCTGGACCTTCCAGAGCAAATCAGTGCTGGCCACACCCCCGTACTAGGCTGTCACCAAGCTTGCATTGTTCGCTGAGCAGAAGGAAAACACTGGTCATGGTTCTGGCAAGATGCTAGAAGATGGCCCTACATTCTTGAAATTCTCAGTGATGCTACCATCGTTGATAGGGTTCCTGGCAGGCCTGCATGTGTTGAGAGCATCTCCAATCGTGCTCCTCTGGGTCATTTTGCTGTTTGTGATATGAGACAGCTAGTTGTTGTAAGTGTCATTAAAGCAGTGGATAAGAGGCTGCTGGACCTGGCAAGGACATCAAGTCTGCCCAGAAAGCTCAGGAGGCTAAAAGAATCTTATCCCTAATCCTGGCCACCCCCGTCGTGATCAGTGGTGGAAAAACGGTCCCAGAACTGTTTGTCTCAATTGGCCATTACAGTTTAACTGTACTAGGCTGGTTAATGATGCAGTGCATAGTAAGACCTTCAGAGGGAAGGAGAATGTTTTGTAGACTATGGGGGGGGGGCAGTTTTAAGTTATCAGTTCTTAAAATCAGCACTTTTTAATGAAAACAACTTAGGGTGGACATTTGGTACAGCAGTTAGGACTGTGCTGGGGAGGCCTGCATCCCCTACTGCAGTGCCTGGGTTTCAGTCCCAGTTCCCCTTCCAATTCCAGCTTCCTCCTCATGCATACCCTGGGAGGCAGCAGGTCATGGTTCTAGTGGTTGGGTCCCTGCCAGCCATGTGGGAGACCAGGATCCAGTTCCTGGCTCCTGGCTTCAGCTTGGCCCAGACATGGCTGTTGTGGGCATTTGGGGAGTGACCTGTGGATTGAAGATTTCTGTCTGTCTCTCCCTGTGTCTCTGTGGTTTACAAATAAAGAAATAGAGTTTGAAAGTGAGAAAGAAAACAATAACAACTTGACTAAAAATATTTCACAGAATCTTGAGATCCATTAAAGTAATCACCCTAAAAAGAAACGGAGCACCCATTAGCTGTCACAACCCAGCTCCTTCCAACCCTCCCCTCCTTCACCATATCAACAGCTAGCTTACTATCTATGCCTGTAGATTTGCCAATTTCTGACATTTCCTGTAAGTGCAATCACACAATGTGAGATCTTTTGTGACTGACTTCTTTCATGTAGCATAATATTTTCAAGGTTCACTCATGTTGTAAAATGGATCAGTACTACATTCGGTTATGTTGCTAACTACTTACTCTTCCACTAAACAGATATATCATGTTTTCACTTGATAGAC